CAATTGCCTTTTTTATATATAAGATTTTATATTATGCTTTTTAGGGATATTTCCTCTGTTTCTTAAATGAGATTTCATATTCGTTTCTAATAAAGCAAATAAACAAAAAAAGAAACGACATGTTTTGTTGTTAGCATGAACAAATGCCTTATTAAAAAGATATGTCGTATTATATATTGATTAAAAAGAGATGTTAAATATTTATTTACATGAACGAATATACATATATATTTATTAAACGGACATGTAGTATTAAAAAGAAGTTTTGCTTATTTCGTTGAAAAAAAAAGGAGGGAAAGTCATATTACTCTAAGCACTCAAGCGGTTTTAAGCTTACCTCCACTTACTCACCAGAACCCCTCTCTCTCACTCCCACCTCTTCTTATTCACCCATTCTCTGCAATTAAATTCTCTTCCTTTCTTCCTCACACCCACCGGTTCTTTGACACCGCCGTCGTCTTCTTCACACCCACCGGTTCTTTGCCGCCGCTCTCGCCATCAGACAAGCACTCACAGTCATCAAATCGAGGAAATAAGGTAACAATAAGCAACAAAGTAGTACGCCTAAGGTCAGAGATGTTGAAGAGACTTCCACATTACATGAATGTCAAGTTAGGAGAGAAGATCGATAATTATATACTAAAGTAGAGTTAGTCGTTTCAGGGGCTTGGGATAAATTAGACTCTATAATGTACGAATTAAGAAGGCGTGACCACTGATTTTGAAAAGAAAAATGCTTGTTCATGTCGTATTCGAAAGCATAAGAGTCTCAAGATTTATAATTAATGAAAACGATGTTTATTTCTGGTTGTTAATTTTTGTAGTTTTCCGTCATGTTGCTTACTATATATTATATATTCCTGATGTTTTTTTTTTTTGTCTCTCTCTCTTGTATGTTGAGTAACATTGAAAGGCTTTAGGAAGGAATCAAGATGATTACGTTCAGTAAATTTTAAGCACTAAGGTCTGGGGTTTGAACTACACGTAGTGATTATTGCTAGCTGATGGGGGGTGGGATCTGTTCTTGTATGGTAGCAAATGGGACTGTTTCTCCTCCCTTTTGCTTGTGTAAAAATAATTGGATCCCAAACGATGCATACTAGGTGTTTGTTAAAATGTCTGTCTTTACGTTCATCTCAAAACACTAGGTGTTCATTGTTTTAGGATGTTGTAACTATTATATTTTGGATCCTAAGTAGGAAATATAGAATTTAGGGCCCTTAGGAAGGAGTATTTATCTATACACGGTGGAAGCAATTCTTAAGCTCTAATAAAGCCAGTTAAAGAGAAGGGGGAAACCCGAGTGTCCTTACCAGCGATATGCCTTTTGTCGCTCGTTCTTCCAGATACCTTGATGGTTTAAAGAAGTCACCATATGCTTCAGACCATTTCTTTAGACTTGAATAAACATGCCTAGGTCCAACCATATCTGCCCAACAAACAATACCACCCCTGCAATAGAAGATAAGACTAATGTGAGATTATCACCACATTATTAGCTTGTGAGATACTAAAATTATGAAGACAACTTTCAGACAAAACAATTGAGCGTGTAATTTTTCAGCAACATGTGTATAAGAGGCATAAGAAATTCCATAGCTATAATTCAGAGTTGAAATTTGATCCAGAATAGTCCTTTCTACGATTGTTTTTTCCTCTCGTGTAGATTGTTTTTTCCACTCTCTGTTGCTTAAAAAATCTTGGTCATGGAAATGGAAAACAGTGGGCAGCGTTACAACTCACAACTCTGCCGTGGGAAGAACTCACAACGCACAAGCAGACAGAGATGATATTGAAGAATATACACAATTGTTCACCAGATTAAATGTCAAGAAAGTATTTAGAATGAATACTAAAAAAATGTTCTGCCATGTAACAAGTGAGTAGAAAGGTCATAGTCACAACACCACTCACCGGTAGGACGGGAAACTCATCCCAAGAACAGATGCAATGTCAAGGTCTGATGCTCGGACAACTATTCCTTCTTCCAAAACACGGCATGCCTCATTCACCACAGGAAAGAGTATCATCTCCACAATTTCTTGGTCTGTTACAGATATGGGCTGTCACCATGGTCCAATAAGAACATCAAGTACTATTCAATCGATGCTCAAAAAGAGATGAACTTGATTTTGTCTCTCAGTGTGTAAATCAACACACAATGAGCAAACTCATAACATGATCTTTACGAGTGGTGGTCTTTATATTGACGCAGACAAAGAATACCTTTTTGCCTGGCATAATGTTCGTGAGTTGCCGAGACTCCTCGATAATTGGCAGTATTGTCAGATCGGGCTTTGGCTGGCTTCCCTTTTCATAAATGTAATATCCTTTTCCATTGTTTTTACCTAAATGGCAGTAAGTTCAAAGAAAGCTAACATGATAAACGTAAAGCAATGCATAAAACGAATAGAACTGGGAAGAAATCATATGAATGTCAAAATGCCACAAGTTCAAAGAAAGCTAACATGATAAATTTATATAAAAGCATTCACAAAAACCAAAAGAAGTGGGAAGGATGCATATGAACACTATGAAGCTTATCTCACCATTTCTTCCGCTTTGCACTAAGAGCTCAATCAATGGTGACTTAAATGTTCGCTCAGGGAATGCATTAATAAATTCTTTTGAAGTTGAAATAAATACTCCATATCCCGCTAAGTCTTGAAGTCTGCATGTCAAGATCATTATATACAATCAAAATACGTTATCAGGAGATCTTTTAGATTATTTTTTGAGGTCTGTCAGAGCCGAAAAAAATCCAAAGCGCGGAATAGATTTTTGTCACATGTGAATAAATGTACAAAACAACTAGTTTTTCAAGAAAGAAAATTACTGGAATGGGCCCAGAGGGAGGCCAAACTTGGTGATCACCCTGTCAATTCTGAAAACGTCCACACCTAAATTGACCAAAATATGAGCTCCTTGCGAGTACGGGAAGAAAGTTCGATTAACTGCAAAGCCGGTGCAGTTCCCCACCACTACAGGAACCTTTTTTATGATTTTTCCAACCGTCATAAGATCAAGAATCACTTGTGGTGAAGTCTTCTCTGTCCGCACAATCTCGAGGAGAGGCATCACATGAGCGGGACTGCCATTAAAGAGTCACATCACCAAATACTCAGAGAAGAACACGTAAACATAGTCATGTGCTATTACTTAATGAAGATAGGACGCTTATCAAAGGCTTCTCAAAGAAAAGATCCCTAACAAAAGTTGTTTGTATACCACAATGCGTATACACATATTGCACGGTTATATTAGAGTAAATTTTAAAATATTGGAACTACTACTGTACAATATGCTTGGTTGATGGCACAAGACATGCTTCAGATTTATGCTATCAGTTCAGGAAACAATAACCGAGATGTCAACAGAAATCGACACTAAAGCATCTTCTAATACTTGTAATAACTAATAATTTTGTTAAGCTTTATTTTAGTTACAATATGGCAAGAATTAGTGGAAAATATGAAGGAGCCATCTTACCTGAAAAAATGTGCCCCCAAAATGCGATCTTGTGAACTTGTTTTTTCCCCAACTAGACGAAGGTCAATGGTAGATGTATTACTTGCCAATATGCAGTGAGAAGGGCAAGCTTTCTCAATTTCACTAAATATTGTTTGCTTAAGAGAGATGTTTTCAATAACAGCCTGCATTTGAAAAAGAACTCTATTAAAGTACTTCCTATTAGCAAGGCACTAAAAACATAAAGACTAAATGATTTACAAGATTTCTCAGCATCATTAAATGTGCAAGATATTAAGTAGGGAGCAGACATAATCACAAGAACTCATTTAACGTTTAACATTGACTCCTGAAAATTACATTCCAAATTATATGATGCAATTGAAATATGAGCTACCTCTATGACCATATCAACGTCTCTAAATTCTGTGTAATCCAGAACACCTTTAAGTAGTGAGAGTGCCTTGTCTGCCTTATCCCGTGGGAGCTTCCCTTTTGATACCAAGACCTGAACATTTGCTGGATTAGGAACAGGCAAACAAAGAAACAACAATGGTCACTTTTCTGATAAAAGAGTGAATTCTAATGTAATATATAAACCTATCCTCCTTGCAGTCTAAGGACTATCCAGGTTAACTTTTCTAGCAATGAGCACGTATACAAAATGAATAAATACAAAATCATTGCCACCATTCATCATCATAAACATACCATAAAATGTAAGCCTGAAGAGGAACCTGTATAAAAAAACCCACCTTCTATCATTTTTCTGCCCTTTAGAAGATATTCATTATTGATTTCCTTGAGAACAACACTAATATTGCTCAGAATAAAAGCTGTAGCTATGCCGGAGCCCATCAGACCTCCTCCAATGATAGCAACCTTCTTTATGGGCCTTGGTTTAAGCCCTATATCAGTAACCTTTGGTACCTGTTTTAGTTGTAGGTTGCAAACATGGTGAGAAACAAAAAGAGGCGCTGCAATACAGAAATTATTCAAGAAAAACTAACCAAAGGAAAACAATTAAAACTAATGCAATAAATCAATTCATTTTACCAACGATAAGATCCACCAAATCATTGATCTTCGAAATTTGAAGTTAAGAAATACATAAAGGAGGGAAAAAAAGGCAGTGCTAGTATGAACCTTGTACCTTAGACGTCGCACGTTGTGCAAAGAAGACATGAACAAGACCTTTTGAGGTGTCTGATAGAACCAACTTCTTAAAATCTCTTGCTTCCTGCAATGAAAATACAGCTACTAGCATAGTCATAAACAGGTGGCACGACTTGCTTCAAAATATTTAGTAACAAAAGCTTGTGAACCAAGCATGTTTGTTTCTCAACATAGGATGAAGCACACATGTTGCCAGGTGATAGGCAGAGGCTGTTAAAGAGATTGTAATATGTCTCTACACAATTTTTTGGCTGAAAAAATCACGAAAAACAGCAGCAAGTATTGCACAAGCGCTGCAGCGCATTCTACATGCGCTGCAGCAGGAAACTGCACATTTTGGTATAGTTGACACTGCAGGATCCACTGCAGCGCCCAAAGTGGGCGCCACAGCGCCTGTGACGCACGCTGTAGCGCACAGGTAGCGCACTGCAGCGCGTCTTCTGCTTCCGTTTGGGTCTTTTCGTTCGGGCCTAAGCGCTGCAGCGCCCGGAAGGTCCTGCTGTAGCGCCTATATCAGTTATAGTGCAATTTTATTTTATGTGATTTGAATTGTGCCGAATCATTGCAACAATTTGTGATATGTTTTCATACATTTTTGAATACTTATTAGCAATAGACATATCTATTGTAATAGATGCATTAATACATGAACAGATACCTCTATTTTGAAACGGTACCTCTATGTGAACGGTTGTGATATTTGAAGAGGATGTGTTCATTCATGAAATGGCATCTCTGTCTTTATTAACTCTTCAGAAAATTTATAGACTTAATTCATGTTCTGGAACACAATATTGTTGCTAGATATTGTGTTCAAGGGTTTATCGTATTTTGGGGGTAATTTGTAATAGAAACTCATTAGCAAATTTTGAGAAGTGAATGCAAATAAAACCTTAAAGGAAAGTATTCCTATACGCCTCAAACCCTCTTGTTTTCTGCATTCTTTTCATCCTCTACACTCAAATTCTCCAACAGAGGCAGTACTATGAAAGACGCATAGACATATATATATATATATATATATATATATATATATATATATATAACTATCACAAGAAACCAAAACCAAAGTACCATTAGAACATTACCTTTAGAACTCCGCTGTATCCTCCATGAACAATCCCGTCCTCGATGACCTCAAGACACACCTGGTGCTGAGGCATGTTTGGAGCAGTTTTCCTGGCTTTTTGCCGGGCAACTTTCAGTATGTCACGTGCTTCAGACAGGGAGCCAATCTTGTCTGTCCGATGAAGGGAACGTAACCACGGTTTGCGCCTCTCTGCAATGCCTAAAGCCCACAGCCTTGATACTTTCAGCAACTCCTCAGAAGACACAATGGAATCAATAAGACCAAGCTTCTTCCCTTCTTCAGAAAGTATTGGTTTTGATGACTGAAAAAAATTGCATATGTTACTGAATTGCAGTGAATAAAACATAAAACTAGCAAGTCAAGACATTAAATGTGAAATAGTATATCTTTATGCTACAACAAACAAAAGTAAAACCAGAAAACACAATACTCCTCTTTTTTTTTTCTTTGTTTTATTTATTTATTTATTCTTTTGTTCCTCTCAACAGTTTCAACCCATTAAAATGATTCATTCAACAAAATTTATTCTCACTCCCCTTTAAAAATCTATCTCAAATTGGAGAGCAAAGGAAAACAGGTACATGTTCCATTAATAACAGAACTAAGGAAGGAACCAAGGAAAAATAAAAGGAATGAAGGGAAATGAAGGGAAATGAAGGAGGTAGTTTACCAGCATCATTTCAACTGCCTTTGACAGCCCAATAAGCCTTGGAAGACGCTGCGTGCCTTACAAACAGAAACCATTCTTTTAATAACTCAGTGAATACTTATGATTTGAGAACTCAGAAATTGATGTGTATGAGGCAATTTACCTCCGAACCCCGGAATAATACCAAGTGAAAGCTCTGGCAAGCCAAGTTGAGCTCTGGGAGCTGAAACACGAGCATGGCATCCCTGCAAGAGGTCAACTAGAATTATGCATTTGTAAAATATAAACACTATCACAATAAAGTTATGCACCAAAAAACTTGGGATGTTGATGCTGGGCTACAAAAACAAACCATTGCTAATTCTAGGCCGCCTCCAAGAGCAAGTCCTTCTATGGCAGCAACAATTGGTTTCTTGGAATCTATGGTTACAAAACAAGAAAGCAATTTAAATATCCATAATTTGTAAAAGTTTAAATGAAAAAATAAGTCCTTTATTTGCAAAAATAAAAAATAAAAAAATAATAATAATAAAACTACGATCGAGTTAAGGTTGTGTAGTGACCTTCAATCACGTTGACCACAAGATCAACAGAAACATCAGGCATAAGCGAAACATCCCCTGCCACGCCAAACAATACACGAAACTGAATTTATCAATTCACCAGTTCAAGTTCTATCTTCCAACTAACAAAAAAATTCCACCGAACAGACTACAAAGCAAAGTCGATTATTCGCATACCGGTCTTGTGAACTTTCTCGAAAACGTTAATGTCAAACCCACCCGAAAATCTCCCTCCTTTGCCTTCATTGAATGACAAAAAACCATAAACAATAATCAGAACACACTATCTTAAACGCAAAATGAAAAAGAAAAAAGGAAATCAAATACATAGTTCTAGAGCAAAATAATAAATAAACTCTAATATATTCCAAAGAATCTAACAAAACAACAGTCAAACACCATATATATAGCTCACCAGTCAAAACAATAGCTCTCACATCATTTCTCCTCGTCGCCTCATCGAACTTTTCCTTCAATCCAGCGATGACTACACCACGAAAACCAAAAATCGCATAAAAACAAACCAGAAAAAAATGGATCAGAGAAGAAGACGACGAACAAAGCTCGGAAATTCAGCTCGGGGCTTACTGGGAATTGCCAAGGCGTTAACAGGCGGATTCGAGATGGCGATGACAGCGACGCCGTCGTTTCCGACCTCCATGGTGACAGTAGCCCTAGCCATGGCGTTTCCGAGAAGATAAAGATGAAGATGAATATGAAGAAGATCAAAAGAACAGCTTTGGTTTTTCTTTCCACGCTGATAAATATCGCAGGAAAAAGCTTTTATTATATTGATATTGATATTTTTTTGTTTTGTTTTTTTTATGAGCTTTTTGTTTCCTTTTTTGTTCTTAAAGAAGGAATATAAAACACTATTATATTAAATTACGCCATGTCACCGTCGTTGTCGTGTTGACACTTTCACTCTGAGATCAGATTCAGATTAGTGGTTGTTAAGGTTATTTGTCTGTATACGTGGAATAATCCGATTGCACTATTTTCGGTATAAAAGTAACTGCACATTAGGTGTGAAAGAGACTTGGGTATAGCCAATAATATTGCTTTAACTTTTGCTACCTGTGGAAGATCCCTGTGGTTGAACCTCACTAGATTATAGAACCCACTGATACAGTTACACACGGCATCTTTCACCCAAAGGCCGTCGTTTAAAATCCAATTGTCGTTACGGGATCGCATGCGACGTCGTTTATCTCAGCAAGTTTCGGACCTCCAAAACCTAAATACGATACAGAGGAAAGGGTGAGAACTGAGAAGAGTACAAGAGAGTGCCTCCAATGGCGTCGTCGAGAGTCTTTTCCAGGTTTTCGTCTAGATTACGGTCTTTCTCTCTCAATACGAACAAGAATTCGACGGCGCCGGAGTTCTCTCCGCTCAAATCGACCTCTCGCTCCGAGACGTCTCTCTCCGCTAGACGCATTTCTCGCATTTCGAGGTTAGATTTCTGCTTCTCGTTTTTTTCTGTTTGGTTTCCGAGAAACTGAAGGAAAATTTTCACCTTGTAAAGATTATACCTTGATTTTAGCTCTAAAACACTAATAAATGAGAAAAATTAGTCCCTTTAGTGAGCTGGAGTGAAAAAACTTTGGTTACTATTCTGTAGCTTTTCGGCTTTCTTTATGAACCAAACAGGCGAAGGATGAGAAAAATCTCAACTTTTGATTTTTTTTTTCCGTATGTTTATTGTATTAAAAATCTTAATTTGTATGGTATTATCAGATTACCACTGCAATTGAGCAGCTTGGAATCAACGATGCCATTACACAGTGCAGTGGCTTCAGCCAGATTAGTATCGAGCTTGTCAATGGAATCTCAGAGCTGGGGATTGGTTCCTAATGGTCTGTCTCTCTCTCTCTCTCTCATTGACTAAAAGATGATTATGCTTGAAGGTCTTAGGTAATCTAAGCTAACTAGATTCTCCCATAGATCAGTGAAAAAATAGTGACGATATCAAAGATTAGATTTTTTGAAAGATTTTAAGGTGAGAGTTGATTTAGAATTAGATTTAGACCTTTATATGCGTTTAGTGGAGGACAATACTAAATGGGTTTGACTCGAAATTTTTCCATCGACTCTTTGAGTAGTGTTCGGTGTTTTGTCTTTTTTTTTTTATTAATAATTTCTTGGGTGGTCCATAATCGCATTGTCTTGATTGCGGAAATAATATAAAGATCTATTATCAAATGTGAATTGGAATGTAAAACAAAAAATTAAAGTGGAAGTCGCTTTGTTGATTGATCTTAGTTATTTATAGGGTGGGGAGTCTGGGGACTATTTGAAAAGGAGAGAGAGAGAGAGAGGTGTTGGAGTATTTGATGATTGAAAAATTGTAAGTGGTGGAACCTACATTAGCAGCACGATGAGAAACTTCCTTTTTCCTAAAGGCCCTTGATCTTAGTGACCAAATGGGAAAGAAAAAATATCTTGTTTTTTGTCTAACCTTAATTGAAGAACATTGTGCTTTTTTCTCCTGAATAATAAGGAGATATTGACGTGTCTGCTGAATGTTGCAACACATGCAATAGATGAATAGACCATGAATTAACAAAGAATTTCTTTCTAACTATAGCAAGATGATGATGTGGTGTGAATCAACATTAAACGGTTCTAAGTCGGTCTTTTTGTTTGTCAAGTAGATCATGTTTTTCTCTTATGTGAAGTTTTATATTCTAACGCTTTTGATTTCTGTGTTTCAGGACTTTCGATGCCTTTTTAACAGTATTCCTGTGACAAGTTTTCTATTTTGATTGCTTTGTTGGTCTTATTCTTATATGGACATTTTGCTTTGAAAATGTTGTTAGAGGCTTAAGAATCAAGTGGTCTGGATTCTTTTTCTAATTGAGTTTTCTTTTTTTTTGATGGAATGTTTATCTGGACCCCCTATCGGTTGATCTTCATTTCCTTTCCTGAATGTCTCTTCTTTGGGAGGTACAAAGATGAAAGTCTTAGTGCCCGTAAAACAACAAAGAGAACGGAGTTTTTTTTTATTACGTTGTATGGAGTTTTGTGTATTAAATTCGTTTGTTAATTTCATATTTGCCCGCCAAAGAATAGGGCTTTCTTTGCCTCTTTTAGCTTAAAATGGCACAAAACTCCCTCTCGCAAGCTTACTTATGTTGCCAACTCTAATAATTACATTATAGTGGCATTGAAAATTTGACGAACAGAACAGGTGAGTCATAGCAAACAAGGGTTGTTTATGGCCCTGGCCCCAAATTAAGTGAGTTTTAGCCAAAAAAATCATACCCCGAGTCAGCTAAGAAAGAGAGCGGCCCCAAATTCCCAAGTTTATGAGGAGGTCAAAATGTGTATATCAATTAGCTACAGTTAGGATTCTTCAAACTTCTAAGTATATCTAAAATTGTTGGGACTGCGGTTGACGTATTTTTCTTAATGGATATTTGGTTTATATATTTAGAACTATAATTCAGAATCATTTTTTATTTGTGTGTATTTTTTTTTTTTAGAAAAAACACTGTAACAAACTATGAATGGCATGAATCTTCATACTAAACGTCCTTAATGTATTCTAAATACCATGTTTTTCTCTTTTGTATTTATCATTGCACCAAATTCAAAATAAGAGCGTTTCATTCCTAATAGTAATATAAATCGGAAATGCCACAATCTTATTAAAATGAAATGCCCAATAGTTCGTGAACCATGTTATATATATATGTCCCTCCAAATAATGTATTTTATATATGAATACTTAATATGTATTAAAATATTTACTCATACCTTACAAAATCTACTCACATATTATAATGAATGATTATTAAATTGATCATTAATAAAATGTTTTTTTTTTTTTAATTTCAAATAGAGTTACAATAAATTTTTAAAAACATCAATCCCAATAGTTGGCATATAACTTATATAGCACTCCTGAAGCCAAGAATCAAGTTTTTTTCTTTTCCAAGAATCAATTGGGACCAATAGAATAATTATTCTTAAAAAAAAAAGGAAAAGAAAAACAGAATTTGGCTTCATTTCCTTTCAAAACATAGTTAGCAATTAACTATCTAATAAATAAAATCAGAAATTTAACTTGCTAGCAAGGGTGTTCGCGGTTGGTTTGGGTGGTTTTTTTTTTTTTTTAGAAACCGCCAATTAAATTAAAAATATTTTTTTCTTTTGGGCGGTTTGTGCTACTCGATATTTTTGACAAAAACCAAATTGAACTAACTCACTCATAAGCAGTTTATGATGTTTAAGTTTAAGACTAAAAAAATTTCAATTATTTATAAAAATTATAAAATCATTAAACAATAAAAATAAAAGAAGATTCAAGTTTATAATATAACTTAAAAATAACAAATGTCTAACAGTTCACTATTTAAAGTTTTAATACAAACCAACAAAAATATGATAGGGTGTATTTAATAAGTGTAGAACTTTTATTATGACCACTAAAAATTAAAATAAATATAGAATAACATTTTAAAATTTAAAAAATTATATATATATTTTTAACGGATTATTAGGCGGTTTGGACGGTTTGGGGAGTCCAAACCATAAACCAAACCGCTCAAAAAAATTAAATTAAAAAATCGATTAAACCACTCAATAATTTAAAAATAATAACGATTTGGTGCGATTTAATTTGAATTGACCGGTTTTCGTGATTTGACGGATTTTGTGAGTACCCTACTTGCTAGTTGGGACAAATTGAAAAGGCTTACCCAGTCTGCCGAAAACGAAAGCGTTATTGTAATATTCGGAATTTAGTTGTTCTTTTGCAACGGAACTCAAAAAAATTTTGAACTCAAGTTACAACTTTATTCAAGTTCATGTTCTTTTATAAAATTTGAGTTTGAACTCGAGTTTATGGCTAAACTCGAGTTCAAGTTTCCCCTTCAACTCGAGTTCATAAACTCGAACTCAAGTTAAATGAACAATATTTTTTCTATTCTTAAAAATGTCACAACATTCTCGTTTTAATTCTGATTGAGATGATTTTTTATGCATTTACAACGAAAAGACGAATAAAACCCCACCCATATACCGTATTAAAATTTTTCATTACCATTGAGTTTTTATTAAAATACTATCTAAATATAAATTTAAGTTTTAACCCACCCAAACACAAACTCAAAAAGATTCCCCCGTTCTTTTCGCAGATTCGAGTTTAGAATTTGAGTTTTGCTACAGTAAAAAGCTCTCATAAATGATCACATCTAACTTTTTTGTTAAAGTAAAAAGCTCTCACATAACATCACATCTCAACTCGAATTAGCGAACCGAACGGGCCCTGAATTCAAATCACAACTCAAATGTGCACATCCAAACACAAACTCAAGTTATAACTTCAACTCCAGTTATAACTCAAACTCAATTTAAAATCATCACTCAAGTCACCTTAACTTAAAAAAAAAAAAAAAAAAGCAAAAGAACACCCTTATTTTCCACTATAAAAACTTCCATACCCAATCCCATACACTGAAATTTTATTTTTATTTCAAAATAATGCTTTTAAATGTATTAATATTCATGTATATTATTCTATCAAAAAAAAAAAATTTCATACATATTAATACCATATCAGCTTTGATATAGGGCCCTTCCAGTTCCAACGGCCACACATGGCCTCCTCCTCCTCCTCCACCTTCAACTATCTGCAGCAAAAGCACCAACCTTTTCCCTTCACTCTCTGTAAGTATCCTTGCACTCTCAATGTTTTTAACTTCCATTACTCAACCCGTTTTCTAATTTTCTCACCTCCCAAACAACTTCTTCTAGTTAGAGAAAATGTTAGCCGTGTTGTTGCTGCAAAGTTGTCTGCCACAGACCATGAACCATCATACACAAA